TAATTAGCATCTTTTTTTTTTTATTGAAGTACAGTCAGTTTACAATGTGTCACTTTCTGGTGTTACAGCACAATGTCCGAGTTATGCACAGACATACATATATTCGTTTTCATATTCTTTGTCATTAAAGGTTATTACAAGATATTGAATATAGTTCCCTGTGCTATATAGAAGAAGCTTGGTTTTTGAAAAAATATATTTTTATATATAGTGGCTAACATTTGCAAGTCTCAAACTCATAAAGTTATATCTATGCTTTTTAAATTGGCATGTGAGAGTGTGGCACGCTTTTCCTGGATTGTGTGTCTCCCCTCATCCACTCTGCATCCACGTGGATGCATCCAAGGAGGTTAAGATAGAACTTTTTCTGCACCTCTCCCCCACCAAAAGTTATGGCCTTTAAAAAATGATTTTAAAATCTATCAGTGTGGAGCAGATGAAATATGACTTATCTCTCCACGTTAGGTAAGGCTTTCACGATTGTGGAACGGACTTTGCTTCATTGTGCAGGAGGCTGAGATAGTAAAATAAATTCAGATTTCATAGTTACCCATTTTAAGTCTGAGGATTGTAATTCAGTGCCCTGGTGAACAAAATCAGGGGAACACTTTCCCATTGATCTGGCATACAGCAGAAATATTGGATTAATGTATTGAGTTCTTTGAATGAGGAAATTGGACCTAAAAGCCAGCAAAATGCAATTCACTTTCCCTCTGCTTTTTCTTCCCCACAATATTCTTTTCTCAAGCAGGAAAACAGGACTCATCCAAAGAAAAGGTGGCAAACTCCAATCTTTAGGGGCAGACGAGAAACAGTAATTGTGTTAAATGACTGGGAAAGATACGATAGGGAGAGGTGGGGACTGTGGCAAACAGAAGGGTCCTGTCTGATTGCCTAAGGAGGCAGCCACTATCAACTCCAGCTGCTCATTGCCAAGTAGGAATGTGAACCCACTGTTATAAGACCTTCCTATTTCTTCAGGAGAAGTCAGAAACCCATATTTTTTCCCTAAAAATCTTAGTATTTTTTAAATTAGCTTTTTGTATTTTGAGATAATGGTAGATTGGTGAGTTGTTATAAGAAATAATACAGAGAGATCCCATGCATCTTAGTTTCCCTCAAGGGCAAATGTTTTGCAAAACTACAGTACAAAATCACAACCCAGATACTGACTCTTTTTTGGTTTTGTTTTTTTTGGGGGGGAGGGTAATTAGGTTTATTTATTTTTAGAGGAGGTACTGGGGATTGAACCCAGGACCTCATGAATGCTAAGCAAGCACTCTACCACTGAGCTACACCCTCCTCCCCACAACCCAGATACTGACATTGAAACAGTTAAGATACAGAACATTTCCAGGGAAGGGATTCCTCCTGTTGCCCTCATAACCACACCCGCCTCCCTCCGGTGCCCCATTCCTAACCCCCAGCAACTTCTAATTTGTTCTCTATAGAGATGAGGGAGAGAGTGTTATACAATGTTATATAAATGGAATCACACAGTAGGTGACCTTCTGGAATTGGTATTTTTCACTCAGCATGATTTCCTCGAGATCCATCCAGATTGTTGGCATGTGTCAATAGTCCATGCCTTTTATTGCTGAGTAGATGTCCCACAGTTCGTTGAACCATTCACTTAGTGAAGGACATCTGGGTCGTTTCCAGTTTGGGGCTGTTACAAATAAAGCTATTATGGACATTTGTAAACAGTTTTTGTGTGTGTGTGTGAACAGAAGTTTTCATTTCTCTGACACAAGCCCAAGAGCGCAGTTGCTGGGTCATATGGTAGTTGCATGTACAGTTTTCTAAGGGACTGCCAAACTGTTTGCTAGATTCCCTGGACCGTTTTACATCCCCACCAGCAGTGTCTGAGCGACCCAGTTTCCTGCATCCTGGCCATCATCTGGTATTGTCACTATTTGGTGTTGCCATTCTGATTTGTGTGCTGTGACGTCTCGTTATGGTTCTAATTTGCATTTTCCTGATGACTGATGATGTTGAGCATTTTTTACATGTTTATTGCCATCTACATATTCTCTTTGGTGAAATATCTGTTCATGTTTTTTGCCCGTCTTCTAATTTTTTTTTATTGTTGAGTGTTGAGAGTTTTATATGGTCCAGATACTAATCCTGTGTCAAATTATGGTTTACAAATATTTTCTCCCGTTGGCAGCTTGTCTTTTCATCCTCTTAACAGGATCTTTTACAGAGAAAGTTTTTATGGGGTACAACTTATCAGTTTTTCTATTTATAGATAGTGCTTTTGGTATCTTTCCTAAGTAGAGATGACTTTCTCCCTGAATGTAGACAAAGTTAAAGTGGCTCATAATTTCTCTCCGTCACCTATGCTAAACCACACTGTCCAGAATTGAAGGCTGGTTTATTTAAGTTAGACTCATAGAAATGGAATTGGTGCCTCAAAGGGACAGCAAGGATTTTTGTAAGGCTTTTGCTGTATATTTCTCTCTCTAGCTATAGTTGTGTACAAAATACTTTCTAGAAATGTGATGTCAATTTATACGTCTCTCAGTGGGGTAGGAGGGCCCTGCAGGCAATGGATATTTGGTGTTTCAGATCTTTACTGATTAGAAAGGTAAAAATGCTTAGAGGTTTAAAAGCTCTTACCCTACTATACCTACACCCCCATTTCTCATCTCCCGCCAGCTCCCAAGTCTACCCTCCCTCCCCCGTCCCTGCCCTCCTGGAGCAGACAGATGTTTTCCTGGCACCACAATTTTTCACGTCCCCAGCCTCAGCCAGACATGACCC